CTAGACACACTACTCCAAGTGAGCACTCACCAGCGCTCAGTAAAGTGGAAGGATCACTTCTGTTGATTTCCAAGTAACACTCCTGTTAATACAACTCGGTATGCGGTTGACTTTATTTTGCAACAAAAGCACACCGTTGCCTCATACTGGCTGCCTATGCATGTGCTTGGGGGATGGAGGGGAGGGCATTTTAATTAGTTCAGTTCCCAGACAGCTACTCTAATTAAAAATGCTCAGTCACATATATTAAGCTCCTGCACATTTTGATATGGCCATGGGACACTTTATCTAAAGCTCATTCGATGAAGTTTAGATAAGGTGCCCCTGTGGCCATTTCGAAATGTGTAGGCCTTAATACACATGACAGTGAGGCGATGCTGAAGCATTCTAATTAGAATGTGAACAAGCATGTCTACAGGCATCCAATTCATCTTACGGTCCACTGTAACCCCCTAGGTCCCTCTCTGCAGTACTGCAGTCTAACCAATCATTGGCTAGTCTGTATTTGTGCATGCAGTTATTTCATCTCATGTGCAAGACTCAGCAAGTGTTCTTCTTGAATTTAATCCAATTCTGGACTGTTTCTTGAGTTTATCAAAGTAATTCTGAATTTTAGGCTAGATAACAGACATTTAAAAAGCCTGAGGTAGAATCAAAATTACATGGTTTTCTGTAAGTGGTGTAGTTTAGATTAGTAGTGAACAGAATTCACATTTGCCCTTTGGGGGGGAAGGTGGGGAATCTTAGACTGGGCTCTGTCATTTTTAAACCAGTCTGTGTGCACCAAATTTCTGTTCTATTATGGATAGAGACCAGGTTTGTGTCCAAAGCCTATGTTCTATTATGGCTATAGACCAGTTTCTGATCACGTGTAATGTCTGTACCTGGCCTTAGTGTCTGCAACGCCACCTAAGTTGGTGTCATTTATAAATCTTGGATCTCCACTTGATGCCTCCTCCCAACTAAACAATGAGCCATTGATGTCTTCTCTTTGAACAGGATGATCCAACTAGTTATTTATTCATCTACCAGTACTTTCATCTAGTCTGTAATTCATAGTTTCATAGTTTCTAGGGTCGGAAGGGACCTGTGTATATCATCTAGTCCGACCCCCTGCCATGTCAGGAATTAGTACTGGGGTCAAACGACCCCAGCAAGGTGTTCATCTAACCTCCTCTTAAACACCCCCAGGGTAGGAGCCTGCACCACTTCTCTTGGAAGTTGGTTCCAGATCCTAGCCGCCCTGAC